TAACGGAAAACCAATAGAGTATGAGCTGGAAATGGAAAGGTTACCCCCTCTTGGTATTTTATGGGACCCATGTAGTTTTAAAGATAAACATATAGGAAGACATTTGCAACTTGTTGTCTGACTGAAACGTTTACCATTACGACACAAGCCAATGTGAATTATCTGCCCCTGTCACAATTTTTTAATAAACAGCCTAATTGAAATAACCATTAATTTTTTAACCAAATGAATCGTTATGTAGTCGGTTTTTGTTTTAGATCATAGACAAGGTCTCTAAAATGATTTACTTCATAATTAATTGATGTTATTACTTTTCAAAATGGCCGCCAAATTCAAAATGGCCGCCATTTTCCTCTTATTTTATTAACATTTTAACATAAACTGTGTGGTTTTGTTTTTAAAAAAAGCAAAACATCACTTAATCATAAAAAGTTGTTTGTATAAATATTATAGAAGTTAAATAGACTTTTTGTTGTTCAATTTGGGTTAATGATAATGCTATTAAAGAATATAATTTACCCCCCCCCCCTTCCAATGTTTTGCAATACAGCTTTTTAGTCACATATTAATTATTACTTGAAATCTTCTTCTTCAATATAAATTTCCATCTCAATTTCCTCTAGATCACCTCCTTCATTTTAATCATCTTCTAACACTTCACTAGCATTTTTATTAGCTATGAGTTCAATTAATCCTGGTCTCTGTTCAGGTACAATGTATATGTGAGACCTCCGGTTGTACCAGTATTCCGACCATATCTATCAGGACTTGGAATAGTTGGTATTGACAAAAGGCATTTCACCACACAAATATTTGGTAATTTGATCTAAAAATATGCGTCTTTAATGTGGAAAGATATGGTGGTATTGAATGCAAGTCAATAACATAGGTAATTGTAAGTATGTCTGCATTTGGTCTAAAATTTTGTCTGAAAATGTGCATGCGCAACTTATTTATGTCACTTTATTTGTCTTTCCTTTATAAAATGCAAACAAACTGTTCTAGAATTTTGAAATCTTCTTCTTGAATAATTGAAGACTGGTTATAAGTATATATTCAGGATCTATATATAAAAAATGTTTACGGCTTTAATTTTCCCCCTCATGAAAAAGGGCTCGTGGTATCACATCTGGTGAAACTATGTAGCCCAATCAATGCTTTGCAAAGATCTTCTCCTTGTCTATCAATGATTTTATTTACTTTAAATAGTCTTCTATTATTATTATTAGCCACACCAGTGTCAAATAGTATTAATCTGATGACAGACTGTGCTTACGTTAGAAGTAATATCATAACATTAGTATCAGGATATTGTACAATTATTGCTTTGTCATCATTTTCAGCCGCATGTAACATATGTAGCATAATTCTGGTATCGGCTTCCTCCTGAGACATATGTAGATCTGGAATCCGTATTACTTCTACTTTTCCATCTTTACTTTGGAGGCATACACATGTCTCTTCACAAGCACAAGATTCTCCTTCCGTCCAATTTCCCTGCATATTTATCTTTAGACAATTCCTCATATACCAATCTTATGTTTTTGTTACCTGGTCTCTGTTCATTGTATAATCGCCTTCATGGCAGTCTTTGTTGGTAAGTTATCTGCTGTAGCTAGAGACCAAGGCACTGGTCAAAGTGGGTACATAAGGGGCTTTTCAAGGATAATGTCATTTTCTTTTGATTACATGATGAGCTGACCGAAGACATTGCCAGCGGCCTTAACTTCAACAAGATTGTTCTGAGTTTATGTCTCTTTCTTAACTTTCTTTGTATCGGCAAAGGTTTTTCAGTTTTGCTTCTTCAGTGGAGCATAAAAACTAACAGTTTTATCAACCAGACGTTCTTGGGCGAGATTTTTGTGTGCTTCAAGTCCATTTCGGTATAGGCATCAAACAGACTCTTTTCGATCTCCTCTGGTGCAGGAGACCCTAAACTTAAACAAATAAACACATCCCAATTATCTGTTGCAAATGGATTCATAAAGTTAGTTATTGATTCTTTGAGTTTCGTGACATTTTTTTTCAAATGCAGCTATATTTGCTGGTTGTGTATCAATGTGTGTGGAAGAATCCGCCGATATGCCCGCCATGCGGAATGTAGCCTCAACATAGCTGGCTTTCGAGTGTTGTGTTTGACTCCATCTGTAGTAGGCAGCAAAGTTTCTGCTGAATCCTATTATGCCTCAACGAGACTTTGCACATCTGTTTATTATTTGCTCAATACTTATATTAACAGCATTACAGAAACCGTTATTTTGAAGAAGCTTTCTTGATCCAGTGTGTTGAATCAATTTATCACCATATGAACATATACAAATAGATATTTTGCATAGTTTTGATGATCATATGCAAAGAATAATTGTAGCATATTTTATAATGTTGATATGTATAGGTCAAGATCATTTTCCTTCGTTGCTCTCATAAAACGAAGAAGCAGCCAAATCTTAACAATAAATCCCTTCAAATCTGTGCTGTCTTCCTTAAGTGACCTTTTCCGACGTCTTCCTTGAACTCTTGATACCTCTTGTAAAGTACAATGACAGATTCATTAGCTAACACATCTTCAAGGTGTTCACGTCTTTGATTCTCAGCTAGCACATTTAACGCTTGGTTGATATCTTCCAATGCACTAGAGTTGTGAATTTGGATAATTAGTGCTACAAAATCTTCAAAAAGCAATCTTTCGAGAGCTTCTACTGTAAACATGTTAACACATTCACTCTTCTCTATCAGGATTTCTGAGAAACCACTTCCACAAGGCCGTTTGCCAATCGCCCCTAGGTTAGAATCTAGCAAACGAAAAGCCGCTAAATGTATTATATTATCACTGTACTTTGTCGGATTTTCCATACTGTAGAATATGGTTTTTTAGCAGCAGCCAAAGCAAAGGTCACAAATGTGTATTGTTGGTTTACAGCTCTTGAAACACTTGAAATTTCTAGAATTTTCTTAACAGTTGCATTTTTTTGTACTTTGGGCAATTAAAGTACATTGGTAGACATGTACTCTTCTGTAGAGGATGTTTTATCATGCAACTCAGATGTTAGAGATATCCAGCCAGTCCAACTTGGAACAATCTGCTTGTCATGTACACATGAACCAGAGAAAGTCAGATGAAACAGCAAAACCCGAAACATTTCCTTTGTCGAAACTTATAAGTATTGATAAATGGTTCTTATTTCCCAGTAATTAAGCATTCAGCCAATTCTTCAGGAGTGTATTTAACAGTGCATGCCTTAGTCGCCTGTATATTTGATATATATGTGGATGTTAGTTCTCTTTTAGTGTCATCATCATCATCTTACGGCTGTTCTCTTTCTTGAAAAACAATTCTGTGTGCAGTATGGGTTGTTATTTAGATGGATTAGATGGAAATGGTCCCAGCACAAATTTGTTATGAAATTGCTTTTACAGATATTGCATCAGGGAGAACAATGTCCCGATCAAAAGTACTGTTACACAGTTTCCAAAGGAGTATGATTGACAATGTCCGAAATGATTCATCAGTGTCTTATGCTGTCATATGCTGTGTTGCATTTCAATAAAGATTTATTCAACAAAATCACTCTAAAACAATTGATTTTAAGGGAAAAGCATACTATTACTAAAGCATACTGTTATCTGCTTTTTTTCTAATGGCGCAATGAAAATAGGGGAAGTAACTTTATAATGTTTTTTAAAGGGGAGTAACAATGATAATGAAATGTAATACAGTAATCTCAATTATTATTCTTATAATAATAAAAAACTACCAACAAAAGGCTAAGTCATTTAAAATAAAATAAGAGTAAGAACAGTTTCCCTTGGTGAAACTCAACGCGCAGCCTCTGTCAAATAGTCATTGTGGTGTGGGTAAGCTCTACAATTCATTATAGTCATATGGATATACAGAAACAGAACGGAACGGAGAATTCAACTACCAACTTTTCTAATTGTTTTTCATATAAGTGAGAGTATATTAAGTTTCTAGAGAGGACAAAAAGTCAATATTCACATGAAATTCAATTAAAAGTATCTTATCGAACTTTAAAGGCAGCTCAAATCGACTCCAAATATTTATGGTTCATATCTCTCTAAAATTGAAATAATATTCAAGAGCACAACATTTAAAATTCTACCTAGAATAGAGTTAGTTTCACTAAGCATATCATATATAATTAATAATTACATCAAACTATGTATAAATGGGTTTAAACACATTAAATATTGTTATGAATTGTTTATCTGTTCAATAATTGGCGGCCATTTTAAAATGGCAGACACCATTAATTATGTTATTTTTATGTTAAAACTAAAAACTTTTTGTATAAAACATAAAACATATATTTACAACTCAAAATAATGTTTAGATCACAAATTTACTCTGTCATAGAGAAGATATCTGAAGAAATCTTATAAAACTTATATAGAAAAAATATGATTCAAGGGGAGGTAATCAACTTGTTCTATTGGATTCATGGTAAACGTTTCAGCTAAACAACAAGTGCCAATCGATAGCACATACCCTAAGCTTCAACACTATATAGGTGTACAAAAATACCCAGGGGGGGTAAGGGGGGGGGATGCTAGCCCAGCGTCTACAACTATTTATATGCCAATGTCCTTCCGTGGAATCAAAATACCTTAAAGATGTATTAATACTTACATAGATTTCTTTTTTAAATATGCACATGAAAATGTCACAGGTTAAACGTTATAATAGCAATAATTGGAATAATAACGACACAATTAGGTTCAGGACGGGTGGGGGGGGGGTCATGATACACCTCATCTTAAAAATGGTATGGCGTTAAAGGTTATTCACATTTTATTATGCTCTAACCGGATCCACAAGATAAAATTTCGTCATATGATCGTCATAATGCTTACAAATTACAATAAACCAGAATCTTTCTATCTACCCTTAACTTTTAATGACTTTTATTATTTTTGTAAAATTGATCAACCTTACAGAGCAAGCGTGTTACCCTTCAACTGAATTAATCAATGTTCATTTCTTACGTCACTAATAATACTTCAATACCAAACGGAAAAAGTATTTTTTATGTTTCTTCCTTATTGGTAAATTATCAATTTCTGCACGCATTACACTTTTTAACATTTTTCTAGGTGATGACGATGAAGAGTTAGATCCTTTTCTCTGTTCGGGGAAAGTAAAAAACATTAAAACATTAATTGAATCAGGGAGGCTGCCAAGACAAAGAATACTTGATGAGATGTGTCAGATTTTTGGGAGGAAATCCAAAGCGATAATCGTCACATGCAAGGCAATTTGTGAATATATCAAATCAAAACATGTCGCTATTGCATATGTTTGGGCTGCGTATACAATTGAAAACCCGCAAAGAATAACTTTTGTAATAACTGTGAAGCACAAATCAGAAGGTAACAAAAGTAAAGAGTCTGTACGTTTAGAGAAATTGATCCAATATTCATTTGTCAAACAATACGCTGGCGATTTTAGCTTAGAAGGCTCTGAGGTAATTAAGCAACAGGCTTCACATGCTGCGAAATTAGATGAAGAATCCTATGAAAATCTTCAGACCTGCATTTCAAAACACTCTGAAGATTTGATGAAGAAGCACAAGTATCTGTCAATTATATCTGCATGTTCAAATAGATCAAAAGGGTTTGGCGCTTCATGGGAATTGTTGCCTGAAAAGTGTATCGTTCTTTATGTACAAAAAAAGAATTATATTCCAATTGATGAAGAACCATTTGAAACAAGTTATGACAGCATTCCAGTTGATGTAAGAGAAGGTGTCTTTATACCGTACGGACATACTGCCGGAGAAAAGCTAAATCCTGTTAGGATGGGATGTCAAATAGGTGGAGATAGTTCTAGCGGCACCCTTGGCTGTTTTATAGATCATCCTCAATACGGAGTTTGTGGGCTTACATGTGCACATGTTCTTTTACATTCATTGGAGCTGGAACGGTTGAAATCATATGGTATGATGAAATGGCCATTGCATGGTATGTCCATAAATGTTTATCAGCCTGCTGATAACCAGTCTGTATTAGGAAACATTGTTCAACTAATCTGCAAAACAGGCTCAAGCAATACCTGTGGAATGGATGTGGCTTTGTTCAGAGTCACAGACAGACAACCGAAAACGGCAAGTTTCCCTGATGCAACGGCGATTTCGGGTATCAACTTTTATTATTCTTGTATTTTATTGTATTTGGTACTCTTTCTTATAAAGTGAATTATGTTGAATATTCAACATTTTAATTTTTTATAGAGCACAACGTTGTCTATGTGAGCTATGTTAGTATGTCGTTTAAAATCTATTCTCATGTCAAGTTCAATTTGGCTCCAATAAGCTCGTTATTATTTGACTTATTACCCTTATTTATGAAAATGTTACCGTTACAAAACGTGCTCAATGTGAGCTATTGTGACCGGGTTATGTCCGTCGTGCGTCGTCAACTTTTGTCTCGAACAACATCTCCTCCTCAACAAATGGGCCAATGCTGTTCAAACCTTATCTTAAGCACGATTGTTCCTTGCATTTAACTTTACAAAAGGTGTTAAAATTCAATTCCATGCAGAGTTCTGCTGAAAATATTCTTCTTTAAAACCACGAAAGCTAGATCTAAAATATTTGGCATAAAAATTATCATCTTGTTTACCTTTATCAAGTTTGTTAAAATTATATCTCAATGATTTGATTTGGCCTCACACATGGATAATGGGTGATCTCTATATTTATATTCGAATATGTAAAAACCTTGTTCCCCGAAATTACAAGGGTCAGAACTGTTCCTTTCGAACAGATAAAAATAAATTAAAACTACTTGGTAAAAATTTAAAACATAATAAGACGAGCAGAGCAATAGGTTGACCTTCTTTGTCAATGTCAATGTCATATTTCGTCATTTTTTATTCGAAAATTCTTTCCTACTCTGTATCTTTTAAACCGATAGAAATAAATTAAAAATATTTGGTAGAAATATCACTGATAATGACATATAGGAAAACAAGTCTCATTGTGTGAAACTATAATGTCTAGAGAAAATACATCTATGTATTTTAAGCATGTTGCATTGCCTAAATGACCTTTACAAAACTGATATGAATCATGCTCCTGGGTTCAATATTGGTTAAATTACTATGCTCAGAATTTAGATATATGCCACGTAACATCACTTAAAAACCACGACATAACTGAAATTAAGCATTCCCCATGGGTCAATATTGGCCTGCCCTTGGGTCAATTATTTATATTGACTATAGATTATAGACTAACACATTTAAGTCTTATTTTGTGAAACTATAAAGCCCTGAGTTTATATATTTGACATGCAACATCTATTTGTAGTTGTCTTAAAAGTTAAGATAATAATGACCCTAAAGTCAAAATTGGCTCTACCGAGGGAGTCACTTGCTTTATGTTGGTAAATAGCGAAAAACAATATCCTTAACAAAAAATTCATCTTTTTGTGAAATCTTAGAGCTTCTGTATTTTTGCAAATAACATTGTCTAGTAGATTTCCATAAAAATGTTATGAATCATGCACCTTGGGTTAAACAACAAGCATGTTCCCACTCTGGAGGTCATTTAGTATCATAAGGATAACAAACTTAAAACATGTTAAGACAAGTTTCTCGATTGGTTCTGTTCGCTAATTGAAATATTATTTTTAGCCCACTTTTTTCCGAAGAAAAAGATGGAATTGTTAAACGCGAAAACCCTTTGAAAAAACGTTCAAGTACAAGAGAATGAACTTGCCCTTCATTAAAAAAAAAATGCTTTTAACCTCCAAGGTCAAATTTCTCATTTTTTCTCAATTTAACTATTATTTACTTTTTTTAATGGAATGGTTTCAAACTTGAACACATCAATCTTTTAGGATATACCGTCAAGTTAACTAGACAGACTCTGACATTCAGTCATAAATGACATTCCATAACTGCTGGAACTGGCTATAACTTTGGTATTAATGAATAAATTGACTTCATATAAGTATACAACGTGTTTTTTTATGTATATTACACGCAATTGACCTTGGTTGATTTATGAGTTTGACCTTGTAGGTTAGATTATTGAATTTTCACTGATTTTTGCTATACTTGACTGTTATTTGGTAATAAATAAATGGACAATCTTCATACTTCGACAAAACAACAACCCTTTGGACAAGACCTATGTATGGATTTGATGCATACGAGGACAAAAGAATACTTGTGACCAAACGGACAAGTTAAAGCATTTAGATATAATCTTGACCTTCAAATAATCTTGACCGTCAATGTCAGTTGATTGACTTATATTTTCTTAACTTTTTTGATCGAAATTTTTCATACTTGAACAAACCAGCAAGTGTTACTAGACCGACGAATTAAAATGAAAAGAAGGAAAAATAGCCAAAAAAAGGAAATAATAGACTATTATTTTTTCTATTACATTTGATTGAAACGCGATATTGTTCTATAAATCTTATCATTCTTTGAGGCATATCTTAACCATGATACTCTCATGTAAATCTGCCATCGGGTACATATTGCACCGCCCCAGCGGAGCTCTTGTTCGATATGTACGAAAATGTTTTTACATCAGTTATAAGCTGAGCAATAAGAATTGCTTTTTCAGATCTTAATATTTACCGTACCAAAATCTATTGATAACGGCGGTGTTTATCATATGTCAGTATCATTTTACGTCACATCAAAACGTATGTTATTCTTTTATTTTATATTATATTTATATATATTATATTTATAAACAAAAGAAGCGCATGTCACGATATTTACTCATTGTTTTTGACATTTTTAACACATTTAAAATACGTTTCCTTTTATTCGATATTAACTTAATATTAGTAAAAATTCTTGTGGTTCAAGTTAAAATGATAAACTTTAACCATTAATCAATTTTTAGTGTTTAAAGTTATTCACAACTGTATTACAGGACCAGGTATTCAGACAATTAACTATGATAGTTGGCGAATGTGTGGCCCAGATCGGCTGAATCTATTAACGCAAGATCGTGTAGTGAAATTTGGTTCGATAACAGAATTAAGAGAAGGAAGGATAAAATTTGGTGTTATGGGAGTCAAAGAATTAGAATGTTACCCACTTGTTATAGGATGTGCATCTATACAACTATTAAAACAAATTGAAGTTGAAAATGTTTCACCTAACTTTCCTTTTGCTGACCCAGGCGACTCAGGATCACTTGTCTTCGTTGTTGACAGCAATTCGCAACATACATGTATAGGGATTGTAGAGGGGGGTACAACATACGGGACAGTGGTCGTTACTCCTATTGTTCCTATACTAGATGAACTTAACGTGCCTTGTTTAAAACGTTTTGCAAATGATAACATAAATAACTTAGGAGCACATATAAACACAGTTGCTAGTGACGTTCAAAGCATGTATAGAGATATTCAGGGCCTTCAAGGTAATATGAATACTGTTGGTAATGATATTCAGAGAATCAACAGCAACATGTTAAACATGGAAAGGGCAATTCAGCAAATAAAAGATTTTTTAAATCCTCCCCGATAAGTTGCTGCACAGCAGTATCCATGATCGAAAGAATCACATGGCTTGAAACAATGACCATAATGATTATTTCGTGTTCAAATAGTGTATCCCATGCTTAATGCTTTTTAAGTGGAATCTTAGTAATCATTTTCGTGTTTGCTGTGATAGGTTTTTGGCATTGGATTATGTCAAATACAAAGGTGAAAAATCAAAGTTGGTGTAGTAACTGTATAGCTAAGGACACGGTACTCCTCAGTTTCTTTAATATATTTTGATGAATGTTGTTTACTCTTTTTTTTTGACAAATTTTGATTGTGGTTTTATGATAAAAAGCCATGTTTTTTCTCCTATGATTGTAAAACGCTGTCAACAGTACTTGCGGCTATTTAGATAAAACATTAAACTTTCTGTTGAACTTAAACTGTTATTTAAGTGTTTATTTAGTTTATGCTTAGAAATAACATATGTTTCATATTATCAAACACATATTTCACTATGATATTCTTTTAAAATACTATGTACTTTAAAACAATGATTTTATGTCCCTTTCGAAGAAGACAATGCATATTTTTGCTAATTTCGGTCTGTCTGTTTATCTGTCTGTCGATCGGTTTGTCAGTCGATCGGTCTGTCTGTCTGTCCATCGGTATATTTCATATACTTATTTTGCGATAAAAAAGAAGACGAATATCATTTTGTTTTAGACTGTGTTTTATATAACAGTCTGAGACAGCAATTTGTACCAACATATTATTATAGACGTCCAAATATGCAACATTTTGTTTATTTAAATACTGCATAATGCATTAAGTGTGTCATAAGAACATTTAGTACATATGTAGAACACTCGAACTTTAAAATAAGGCAATTATACTTTAACTTGACTTTCAATATTTAGGGACTCAAAATGTACGTGAATTTTGTTTCGCATGACTCTTATATGCTATATTTGTTTATCATGTAGTTTTGTAAAATGTTATTCATTATATTCAATTATAGTAAATCCACATGTCAACTTGTAAATTTCGTTTTTTGAGCAAGCTGTGACTTAATTCATATTCATTTCATGTCCGAGTGATATTTTCAACCTATTTATAGACTTATACTATGCTTACATGTAAAAGTGCATGTTGCGTTTATCATTTATACAGTTTATAACTATATTAAATGTAATTCATTTGTCACAAACTTGTCAGAGCAAGTTGTGACTGGATATAGATTCAATTTTCTAAGTACTATTTCTGTAATATGTTGTATATGAACATATAAGATTTTGATTGTTTGAATGTATTCTGCTTACTATGTTACAAAACTAATGGAGGCTTTATCCTTCGCATTTCATTTTGATATAATATTGGGTTGCATATAGCAGTAGCTAAACGTTTACCGATTTTTCATGTGACTTTTCTCTTGATTTAATTTCCCGCTCATGGCTTTCTCTTTTTCGTACAAATTCATTCCTTGGCGGTAGTGGTCTTATAAAATAATTTAGGTATTTCTGAAATTTATAATAAGTAAAGCTGTGATTGATTCAGTCAACAGCGGTAAAGGTAGATATAAAAAGCTTTGCTGCTATGGTAGTTAGAGTGATGACGTCACAATAAAGTTGAAAATAACTTAAATATATAAGATAAAGTAGCACGAATAAAATTAAACGCCCGCTATGGTTTAGTGGTAGGAATATAGACGCGGCAATCCAAAGATCTCGAACAATTGAATCTTGACACAAATTATCCTAGTATATAATTATTCCGTGATTTGTTATATCGCGTATGCTACCTAACACTTTCAACATAATTAATGATGGTAAAATTACTGGTCTACTCTTTATGGACCAATCCATTTTGTGTGTTATTTTTTGTCTGTGTGTGTGAAATATGACCGAGTTTAATGTTATTTGTTGTGCTTGCTGTTATCATGTAATTATTTTCTGTTTTCTTTTTGTAACTGATATAAACTAAGTATATGTGTCCATTGCAGCTTAAAACATTTACAATGTATATACAAAATAGTGATCTTGATATACTGTGTACAAACACACTGCCATATAGACAGATTTATTATTAATTGAATGAAATTAATTGAAACGTTGCATAATTTTAAATATGAAACTTGGTGTTACCAACTGTATTTTAAGTTACCTATCCTAAAATTTGATCTTTGGTATGTTATTTCAGTCAATTTTAGGAGAGAATACTTGTTCAATAGTCTAACAAACTTACAAACTAGCAAAATGCATTATTATTTTATGTTGTCGTTTTTATCCTTCTTACAGGACAAAATTTCATTTATTTCATTTATCATTTTGTTTTCTTTTTTATCATTTTGAGTAAAATATGATAAACAAGATCAACAAAGAAAGGCGGCATTCAATGAACGCAACCCCAATATGACCCAGCAACAAGAACCAATGGCAAGGAGCCCAGGCGGACCCCAAACAAAAACAGGACAGGGCAAAGACAGAGCACGGACAGGTTAATCATTAAATGATAAATAATTTGTAACTGATTAGGTTAGGAATTCAAATAAAGGAATAATAGGCCCACAAAGGGGAAGGGGACAGGAGACCGGGGGAAGGGGGGGGGGTTAATCAAAGTAATAAAAACTAGAGGCAAAAGGGAAGATACTTACCGTAGACGAGAAAACAACAAGGGACACAAGCAAAAGTGTCGCCAAAACAGTATGAAACAACATAGACATACATCTGAGGAACACAGTGGGGCGCCGCCTTGGAACGGTCAGCAGCATAATAATGACTGCTGGGGAGTTTAAACCGGTTAATGGTGCACCAAACCTCGCTCTTAGCCCCACCATGTTCCTATTAACGAGACAGTGTAAATAAAATGAATCCCAGCCAAGTGAAATTCTAACAGTTGTCATGGTTACAAAAGGTTAAATAAGTAAAACACTAAAATGATCATGTAGAAACATATAAAAGTAAACCCAATGACCATAACAAAAGTACTCAATGTCCTAAAGGAAGACAGAGCAACAAGAAAATCACCTACAAGGGCCCGACGAAGCAAGGCAGAAGACGAACATTAAGACAATTCAGTCCCAAAGGGCTTTACGAACTATCCATCATAGAGTCTCCCACTTGGTCCGTCAGATGCAATCAAAAGAGGAAAGCGTAATGTCCAACTGTAAAAGGGTTGAACACTAAACATGCAGTATGCCTTAAAATTGACGGAACATTATTCAAAAATAGATCATTTTAAAAGAAAATTGGGCTAGGTTTAATAAAAAGAACAAAAAGTGCTTAAAAACAAGTCTTGTAATTTTGCACGCTCACACAAAAGGATTTCAGCTTAATAAAAAGCATAAATATGAGGCTATGCTGAGTTCAGTTTTGAAATTAACAAGATTTTTGAATTCAAGGAGAGATAACTCGAACACAAGCTCGGTGATCCCTAATTTATAACGCTGATATATTTATGTTATCATATTGTAAGATCAAAGATTATTTGCATTATATTTTCATTATATCTTCATAAAACTTTTCAACATTTGTATAATCTGAAAAAACAAAACAGCAATGCTTTAGTTGATTTTAGATAGATTTACGTTTACTTCTTTGTTTATCATCATAAATCATTGAATGAGTGAGATGAAGAGCTTTTTGATTGAGCAGGGATCTATCAATTTAGAATATATATTTGTCTACCTGATATTGTATGTTCTGAGTAAAATATTTTTCCATTGTTTTATGTTCTTTTGTATATTTTGCTTTGTTTGAATAGCACTTTGTCTAATCGTATACATTAAGACGCCCAAAAGGGTTAATTGTGCACGTGCGCCTTTCGTGCATAACTGTCCGACCCATAACAAAACCGTTCCTCAATGATATATTCATACACAAACAAATAACTGACATCTCTTTATAATATATTTATATATATATATATATATATATATATATATATATATATATGCGTTTAGTTTGTATTTGTTTCTAACCATAATCTAAGAATGTGTAATAACCATAATCTAATAATGTGTAAGAGTGTGTGTAAGGGTATATATTATATATATGCGTTTAGTTTGTATTTGTTTATAACCATAATCTAAGAATGTGTAATGACAATAATCTAAGAATGTGTAAGAGTGTGTGAGTTTTACTGACATTAAAATTTATGGATATAATAGATAGTTCCTAAGTGTGTCTAACCTATCTTGTTTAAATCATCACATTAGTGAATAACAATAAGAATTTCACCACATTCTATTTGTTAACAAAAGGACACATGTCAATGTTTGTCTTTTTATATTCAAATGAAAGGTTTGTGTAGAGATTTATCAAGTTAGTTAGTGTGTTAGTTGCTTTGACTGCCTGAATAAAAGTTTTATCATTTTTTGGTATTTTGTTTTCCTTGTACCAAGTACAGTATATTTTGCTTTGTTTTATAGTATTGTGTCTGATTCAAACTATTAAAAGCCGAAATGGGTCATCACTTACATGCGACGTTTGTGGCAATTCCGACTATTTGCATAACTGACATCCCTATTACAGAACTGTTCCTCTTCGATAATACTATGCCTAATGATATTTTCCATATAAATGACGAATTCATAAAACAATCTTTAAAAATAATTCAGAAGTTCTACAGGCTCTTTATTACTTGCCAAAGAAAGATGCATGCCCACCATGCCCACCAATGTGTCACAAACATATCATCTTAAAACAAAATAAAATTCAGTTTCAATCTCAGTATTTCAAAGTTTACAGTGTGCCACAGTCGGTGTCTGACTAAAAAGCAGACTTTTTCAACATGTATCTGAATAAGAAAATCTTGAATGATAAACACTTAAGGATTCACATGCATTTTAACAAGGCAATGAAAGGTTGTTCTTAAGTGAATAAATCAGCGGCGATGTTCTCAAATGTTTATACGGATTAACAAATACATGTATGCCTAGCCATATGCAGTTAGTTACGGAATTACTTGCAAAAGTAACTTGTATCTTGTACTTGTTCATCGGAATGAAAAAAGCCATTGTTTACTTGTAGACTTTTCCTATACAGTTTTCTATACAGGCTCTGGACTGGTGCGGGCTTGCCGTGGCGTATTTCGTTAGAATTTTACTATTGAAGCAATAGAAAGCAACCTAAAACTCCAAATCTATCCGACTTTTGACCGAGGCTGACATTATTATAGGACTATACTGTCTGAGTTGGACTTAACATTTTTTATTTGGCCATTCAATGGAGACTAAAAGCAACAATTTTGACGCATTTTTTAAAAGCATCAATAATTGCTCTTAAAGCGCAAAAGTATGATAATGCAAAAATATAAAAATGTGAGTTTTCATACTTTCTTACAATCAGTCATATTTACGTTGACGTTTAATTTACTTAACTTTAAAGTAAGGTTTCGTTTGATTAATTAACATAATTGTTCATCTGTTTGTGCGTAATTTTGTCTTTTTTTATTATAAATTTCGAGTCATTTTATCCTTTCCGGAATTGAGTGAATTCACTCTCCGATGTGTAGGTTCCCGCGTTTTACATTCTATAATGCTTCCATGCAATAGTTGTAAACAATTTGTTTACGACAGCCTGCAAGTGAAAAGGATATTGCTGCTTCACATATCCATTTTATACAAACAAACCATGCATATGAAAGTTTACATGATGTACTTTTCTTTTTAAGGAACCCTATACTTTTGGCCTATCCAAGGGGGTTCTTGAGTTATATAGACTTGTATAGGACTTGTCACTCATTACAGTACTTATTAACCTGTAACAATTAAACTTCATTTACAGAGACACCTTGATGAGTTCTACCAACCATATACGTTTTCAGGTCAAAGGATCAAGGTCACTTGGGCTTGATATATAAAAAAAATTCAACGGGCCATAGATTTGATTCGTTTTATGTGGATATATCTTCATATATCTAGTCCTCAGGTGACCGTTTTAGGGCCGATTGCCCCCTTATAATAAAGTAATATTCTTCTTTGTTAATTTTATAATTACCCAAGTAGTTGTACAACTGAAAGAGAGGCAGAGCTTTCAATTTGACATTTAAACACACCCAATGAAAAAGACATGACAAAAGAGCCGTTACTAGCTTTTTAAAAGCTAACTTAGTTATATATACTACTCAAAATTTGTTAAGGATCACCTTATTGACATTGCATGTTTCAGTCCTATTATCATCATATTAAAATCATATTTCCACTCACGAAACACCTGAACGGGGACCTCATAATCGTGTACTTAAGTTATCGATTTGTCATGTACACCTTGCACAGTAAGCACGTTGAAACATACCTATGGAAATTTGGTGTTTTATGGTTATGTGCTATCACTTAGACGTGTACAAGCAGCAAGACATCTCTCGTTTTATTGTAAAACTGTGTTAGAAATTAACCAAATATGGCAAATCGTCGTCTTAGTGAAGATGAGATGAACAGGGATATTGGAATGTTGGACGCTGCCCGTTCACAATGTCCTTTGGGTATCCAGGAGCGTTGTCTCCATGATGTGGAATCGATTTCTAATGACTGGAAATATCTTGCAGAGCCACGACGGAGGTCGGGAGCGTTCAACAACTCAAGCCAAGGACCAATTCATTGTCCTTCAGGTCAGGCGCCAATGGTTCTCGAACGCTACGACCTTACGTAACGATTTCCGGAATGCAAGTGGTGTGCGTGTAAGCACACAAACTATTGGAAACAGGTTGCATGATGCTGGGTTGAGGTCATGGAGGCCAGCAATTTGCTTTCCTTTGACACAACGCCATATTCAAGAGCGTTTGCAATGGACGCATGCTCATCTCACATGTTCAGTTCACATGATTGGACCCCGATCCTTTTCACTGATGAGTCAATTTTTTGTGTGAACTTCACGGACAGACGGACTAGGGTTTGGAGAAGTCAAAATGATCGCTAAGCTCTTGCATGCGTTGCAGAACACGACTGTGCTCGTGAGGGTTCAGACATTGTGTTTTGGCGGGAATAAGCGCTCAGGGGAAAACGGACCTACACATCATTTAAAACGGTACACTGACGGCAGTAACGTATGTCAATAAAATCTTAGTCGTCCATGTACGCAAGTACGCTGGCGCAGTCGGCTTGTGCACACAGAGCCCACATCACTAACCGATATCTTGAGGAGGCAAGTATAGTCCGCATTGATTGGCCAGCGAGGTCCCCGTATTTAGATCCAATTGAGCATGACACGTACAACCAACAACAGTTCAGGAGCTAAGACATGCAATCATAGAGGTATGGGCCCAGATTTATCATCAAAAGGTCCGCAGGCTCATCAGCAGCATGCAGCGGCGATGCCAGGCCGTAATTAATGCCCGCGGACACATACTCGGTATTAAGGCCCTACGCCAACCATTTCCTGATTTGCAAGATTTTTTTTATTCCAGTATGTGATCTCCAAAATGTTAATTTTCGTCCAGCACACTCTTTCTGCAACAGGCACACGTCAAGGAACGCTTCCATTGTCATTATTTTCATAAAAATTAATTCCTAACTAATTATATTTAATTCCTTTTAATCAATTGTCAAATTTATTACAGT